TATCCTCTTCTCTTCAACCCTCCTCCCCCCCATTCCACACTATCCTATTCTCGTTAAGTACCTTCACTGCTTTTATGGACATGACTTCTTTAGAACAACTTTATTTCCAAAATAGGCAGTGGACCATAGTTTGTCAGTCTATGCTTAAGGGATGTAGGTTAAATATTGGGACCAACAGATGGTGTAATGGTTAAATCACGGGACTCGCATGTAGTTGAGTGCAGTTGGTTTGAGTCCTGGACTTGATGGCTTGAAACTCATGACAGACATGTGTGTGTGCATGCATAAAGTCCTGAGAGGAGAATTGAGGAGAAGGGATTGTGGCTTGGCCATTCTCCCGGGGCCCCTGGGGGGGGTTGATTTTTCTCTTTCTCTCTGTCTCTCTGGTGAGCGCATGTGCCCGATAGCCAAAAAAACTCTCTTAAAAAATAAAAAAGAGGCATAGGTTAAATATTTAAATAGTTCAATATTTATTTAAAAAATTATTGTTTTGTTAAATGCTTGTTTGCTTGCTGTAGGGCACATGTGCTCACTGGAGAGAGACAGAGAAAGAGAGAGAAAGTGAGAAATCACCCCTCAGGGGACTGGCCATTTTGCAATCCCATCTCCTCCATTCTCCTCTTGGGATTTTGGGCTCACATTTACACACACCTGATATGATTTTCAAGTTGCCAAATCAGTCAGATCTTTGTAGTCGGCCATGTGGGATTCAGCCACCTTAATCTCTATGCCACCTGCTGGTAAACAAAAAATAATTTATTTATCTTGAATATCTAAATTAATTGCAGCAAATTATATGGCTTTACATTGACCCAGAAAACTAATTGAAGAAAAATGTGAAAGATACAGAGTTACTGGGAATCTGAGATGTTTATGAACTCAATGTATATGCACATATGTACACAGACACAAATACATATTTTAAATTAGGAGTCAGAATAACAAGGTAGTCAGCCAATATTTATCCAGTGACTGTCCCATGTGTAAATTAGTAATAGATTTAAAGAGGACTCAAGTATTAAGTAGTTCCTTATTGCATAGAGCTTACCATCTTAATGAGAAGACAAACACATATTAAAACATTAGAATACGGGTTCAGCTGGTGGTGCAGTAGTAATGCAGGCTCTGCAATGTTGGACCTACGTGGAAGATCTCCAGTTCATGTCCCATGGCCTCCCAGTGCCCACTGGGTGTGTACACACGTGCCTTTGATTGGGCGGACTGAGGCTGGGCTGGGTCACGGTATGAAGACCTTGTTGGTGTTGCCTGTGTGTCTGTCTGCCTCTCTCTCTCTGTCTCTCATGGAAGTAATAAATAAACTTAAGGGGAAAAAATCAGGACAATGATAAAAATGTTATAGGGCTGTAAATAATATTACCATTAATTTTCCAGTAAAGGCATAAGCTCTCGAGTTTATAAGGTTCAAATTTTTCAGTTCTTTTTTTCCTTTAAAATCTCATTTTATCATTAGCAACAAATACTATTAGTTGTTGTCTTTGAAATGACAGGCTCACTTTGTTCATTTCCATGAAAATATCTGCCCAAGGTTTGAGTAGCCAGAATTTGTTCATTCAAAGTGGTATTTTGTGATGAGAAAAAAAAAGAAAAAAGAACAATCAAAAAAAGCTAGTTCAGCTTGCAACTTAGTTATTCTATCAAGGCTTTCCCTGGAGATAACCCGCATTCCACGGTATGCAGCAGCGTTTCGTGCAGATTTAGTATTTTGTTGTTCAACATGGAAAGATGGATTGAGATTTAATAAATTTAATATGTTGAACTATTTCACCAAGGACACTGTGAAGGGAAACTGGCGTTTGCTTCAGTGAGGGTGGACGGTGGAGAAGAATACAGTAACTGCCGCTAGTACAGTTTGGTGCTACTGCCCTGATTTACGCTAAGGCACCCACAGTTTTTCCCACAGTTGCTTTTGTACCAGGGGTACAAATATCCAACACAGTAACAAATAAAACAAAAACATCTTCAAATTATTATAAAAATAGTTTTCACCGTGGGCCCCTTGAAAGGGTCTCAGGTACCACACTCTGAGAGCCACTGGCTTATGACATGGAGTGTGAGTGCCGAGGAGCGGAAGGTAGATGACATGAGAAAGTCTCTGCAGAGAGCCAGGCGAGGACCACCCCCACTGGGGTAATTCAGCCATAGTTTGTCAGGGGAACAGTTTACTATGACATGCCAAACTGAGCTGTCCAAGGACCTGGTGAGTAGAAAGACACCTGGTAATTAAGGAAAGTTGAAGGCAGTTGAGCCTGTAACAGTAGAGGAAGATTTGTAGAAGACAGCCAGGATCCCTACGTAAGTAGAAGGACTTAGAATCAGCTTGATCTGGGCTCCAGTCCTGGCTCCGTCATTAG